CTTAGTGGGAAAACTTAGCTACTTTTAGCCAAGTTTGTCTTTTAAAGGTTTCAGGTCATTTCAACCAATAATACAAAACATACAGAAAGATCTGGAAATATGAATTTATCTGAAGCTAGTTCTAGTGAGATATCTCATCTAAGTATAGTCGAAATTCAATGATGTTAAGCGTGTTTTCTTCCTGTGTAAATTATGCTGTTTAAAGCTAATCAGTACCATCCTAACTAAACAATTCCTCATGCTCCTTCTGCCTATATCCCAGATGGCACTTTGCTGATGGTAGTGACGGTAGGAATGATACAGCTGAGCATCACATTCATCATGTTTCTCAGCTGACCTGGCCACGGTATCTGGATTTCTTTGTATAGAACTAGCTGATGACTTTCTCTTTTCTCATGCTCTGCAAGCACATCCCACTTTAACACCTGCTGAAGCTAGCAGGGGGTATGGTGATGTGAAGGAATGCTGGAGCTGAAGTGTTTGGTTTGCTCAGTCTGTACATTAGTGATACCCTTTAGCAGTGGTAGAAATATTTACTTGATTTCCTGTCCACTTGTGGTAAGTGGCATATGAGCAACAAAAAGAATTCTTATTCGCTGTGTCGATACAGTAGGATACCCTTCCAGTTACATTGTTCAGCAGTTTGCAGATGAAATTGCATAGTTTAATAGCCTAGGGACATGCTGAATTTTAACAGGCTTTCAGAAAATTCTTTTTAAATGAAGATGCACACTTGGCTGATCCACCTTTATAATTTATACATCCAGCTGTGAACCTCTCCTGCTCAGCTGTACAATTCACTCGGTGAGCTGAATACCATCACTTCTGAAATTTTGCATACTTTACTGATCAAGCTGCGTATTTTATAACCAGAATTTCATATAAATTCACTTAGCTAATAAAATCGTGTAGTAAACTGATCAAGATGGAACAATATTCCCAGGCATATGCCCCACCCGAATTATCATATCTTGTTTAATCTCTCATATTGCTGTTGCAGATACTTTTTCCTGTTGCATACACAAAATGTATTGCTTAAGGCAGAATGCAGTTGTAGTTAGTGTTGTTCAGAATTCTCGCTGCTGTGTGTTAGAGCTTTTAATATTAAGTGTTCAAACATTAGGTTTTTCCTGATGTCTCATGATAAAAATACAGCATGTGTATTATAATGAATATGTGTCTTCAGAATAAGCCCATAATTATAAATCATTTGGCAGACATACTTGAAAAATCAGTGACAGCAATTTAATGTCAAGGCAAAGAATATTTCCACACATAAAATATAAAGATTGCTGTGTAATTGATTCATGAGTGAAATTCTGAGATCTGTCACTAATGGTTGTATACGACATATTAACTGTGACCATTTTTTATTAAAATAAAGCAATATAAGGGAATTGGTAGAAAAAAATAAAGAGAGAGAGAGAGAAAATGTCTCAGTAAGCTTCAAAGGAACGTATATTTCTTTTTTTGTTTCATTGCTCTTCGATGTATAAAATTATTTCAAGATTTAGCCCTAATTTACTTAATAATGATATACTTGAATAAGTACTGGTTACGATTACAAGCAATGAAAGTTTTCTTCCTGAATCTAGAAAGAGGCAATTGTTTCTGTGTGCACATGCTAGGGAAACTAGGATTAAATGTCCTTAATTGAAAAGTTTTCAGGTACTGAAGAAAATATATAGAGCAGAATCCCTCTTCATCCGATGAACCTCTGATGACAGTCATGATTAAAACTTTAATAAACATTGAATATAGCTGGATGAGGAAAACAACAAAATGGCTTCTTTCAGCTAGGTGATGTATGCACAACTGATATGCTGAAATCTTGATGCGAAGCATGGCAAAGTCACAGTATTTATCTAAAAAAAAAATAATAATAAATCTAAAATCTCATCTTCAGAAAATAGAAAACCACACTGACAACATTTCAACAATTTTCCTTTCTGAAAGCAATTACTGTTTGGTTTGTGCTAGTTTCTACCACATCGAACTATTATTCTATAATACTGTAATTAAGAGTTACACCTCAAATGTGATGGAAAGAGATGTGCAGATGGGACAGCAAACAAACAAAATCTTCATAATATTCAGCATACAGAAAACTAACCCTCCCACCCCCTCCCCCCCCCCCCCCCCCCCTCCCCAAAAAAAAAGTATTGTTGTTATTATTATTTTAATCTATATATCACTCATGGCTGTAAAAGATATTCTCATAACTTGGTTTATTATTTTCTAATTTGTTTGAGGTGGACTTTATATGCAGTAGAGATTGTGTATGTATTTATATTTGTGTTTGTGTATGCATACAGGTATATATCTGCCTGTGTGTATATATACACACACAGGCATGTGTGTGAATATGTGTGATGGTGTATGGGATATCTGTTAGGCTGTTTTTAACTCAGTTTATGGTTGTGATGGGAGATGCTATCTCAACTTTTGGAACTCAAGACTTCAAACTGAGAGACGGGGCTTACACAGCTCATTCATAGTGACTGGTTACAGTCCTGGCTATTGTGCTGCTGTTGACAGATGGTGTATTGAAGGTTATTACGATGCTCAATCTGTAATGAATTTGTTAATAATATGCAAGTTTTCACACTGATGAAGAATCAACAATTAATGTTTTGTATTTTAACAACAGAAAGATATAGTACTTGCTTAACTTAGAAAACCATTTCAGTCTACTGTCTTTCCAACAGTGATCCATACAGCGGATTACTCAAAAGGAAAACACTTGTGAGTGGAAAAATGTGAGATACTAGAAACATGAATCTCCTCTTCTTGTTTCCTACCAAGAAAGTCCTTGTTACCTGGCCTATGAAAAGAATCCAAAGGATTAGTCATTAGAAAGCATTCTTTTTAACATTAGTGGTTTGGTTTTTGTTTGTTTGTTTTGTTTGTTTGTTTGTTTGTTTTTTGGGGGGGGCGTAAAGCAATCTTTATTTCTTTATGTCTTAAATGTTTTTCCTCCCCTATTTTTAATAATTTCATCAGTTTTTCTATATCCTATGTATAGGATATAGATTTCCTATATCCTATGTACTGTCTTGGTGAAATAAGTTACCTGATAATTTTTAGTATATACAGTTAGAGTGAATTGTGGATTAGAAAAGGACTGTATATTTCCTTGGTGTTATTTATGTGCTTTTACACAGACTGAACTGTTGTTCCTTTTTTGACCTGCAACATCTTTTACCCTCAGACTGTTCACCTGCAAGTCTTTGAAACCTGCACATTTTTCTAAATGTGACTAAGCTGAAAATGTTTTTATCTAGCTCACTAGTAAATATAGCAAATACGTGTTTTGCCAAGACCACGCATATAAAATTTTGAAATGAAAAATTTTGAAATGAAATGAAAATTTTGAAAACTTACTAAGACTTTCTACTCTGTCATCTCACTCTTTAACCTTTATCTAGAATATAAGCTACCTGTTAGTATTTTATTTTATAAAAGGAGTAGGTGCTTTATTAAGATATTTTATCAATATTACCTGATTATTCCCTGTTCGGCAATGTTCATCCTGCTGTTATTAGCTGTTGTGTATAGTGGGGAAAAATATGAAAAAGTACCGCCACCATAAATCACTTCGAATGCATCATCTCCAAGGCTCGCTTTAGTAGCTTAAACTTGACTAAAAACACCCTGAAGTACTGTGAAGTCTTTGGCAAAAACAGTCTCTTCACAAGGTTTTGGGAGTGAGGCATCTAATTCCCCTCCAAGTAGTTTTCTTAATAATACGTTTCATGTTCATATTCACACCTGTTTGTAGATCAACTTCGTTAGAGGCAAGGGACTATCAGAATTTCTCAAGTGAAAAAGCATAATGAATTTTCCTCCCCCTTGTCAATCTCTTACTTTTTAATTAACTTCAATCTAATGTCATTTGTACTGAAAGGATATTTATACAATTTCTTGATATTTAATTTGCATGATAGGGTATTTATTTTCAGTGTTCTCTGCTGAATGAGATAATTTTTATCCTGCTGTGATTTACACTGCTATAGGATGAATTCAGACTTTCCCTTTTTCTGAAGAAAAACTGTCCAAGTAAAAAGCCTTGAAAAACATATCATGTAGAGACTTTTTTGTCTTGATGACTTTATTTTTTATTTTTTTAAGTTTCACTATATTTGATTGGATAAATTTTTATTACCAAGTATAAAATTTCCAATCTGAGCATTGCACATCGGAACTGTGTTCTAAAAATTGCAATTTTAAAGGAATGACCAAAAATTATCCATATTTTACTGTATTTCACATTTTAATTTCTTCACCTATAGTGTCATTAATCCCAGTCCTGAACGACTTGAATATAATTTCAGCAGAATTTTCAGCACTAGTAAGACTTAATTCTTATAATGAAGATTTACCTAAAACTTATAATTCTCTTTGGTTTGCAATCTACTGTGTAATTCTTCAAGCTTTTTATTTATATTGTTCAAATCCTTTTTCCCTCATATTAAAAAGCATATTGGCAAAGAAAATGACATTCTGGCTGGAATAAAACAGTGATGAATCTGACAAGCCTTTCTATACCTTAAGAGTTCTCTGACTTCCCCATTCAATAAGCTCAATGTGTGATGTACGCAAGAGATGCAGCAGTTCAGACAAAAGAACAGTAATAGAGGAGTCCTGAAGTCTAATGCTCTTGTTCAGTTCTTGGTTACTTTTTCCTCACTTACAATAGAAAATTGTAATTACTAACCTGTTTTAAGGGATCACTGTGGAATAAACTTCACTACTGATGAGATTTAAACACGAGGAAAAAGCTATCTAAGCGTTAAATTACTAAACCTTTACAGCCACATAAGACTATGTAGAGATCATAGGAGAAAGGGATTCACTTGGCTATGATAACTTTTTGTTCTGTTTCATCTACTAGGCTACAAACAAACAACAACAACAACAAAACCCACTGTGAATGTTCTAAGAAAACACAATTTTAGGAAAAAATCCAAAGTAATTATCTGTGACATCTGTATTGACAGGTTGGCAAGACATGTTTGGGGAATCGCAATAATTCAACATCTCGTTTGAAGACAGCTGAAACAGAGAGAAGCTTTCAGGTATTCTGTTTCCGAGAAGTTCTTGTGTTTGTATTAAAAGGTCTTGTAAAGCATACAGTTACTTGTAGTGTATATGCACATTCTACTCCAATGCTTTTGAGATAGATTTGTTTGCTCAGTTCACAGACTTTAACTCTGACAGATTTCCATTCATTTGTTCAAAATGGCTCCTGGCTATTAACAGTTTGCAAAACTATTTAATACTTGAAGAACTGAACTAGCTTAGTAATCAACTGACATTTCAATAATGTGATGTCCACAACACTGGGAAGGGGGGAGGAGGTGGACGTTATCAAAACACTGCTACATCTGCAATTATGTCAAGATGTACTCAGAAATCTTACCAATGCAAAAGTCTTATGTGAGTTGTACTCTTGTGCTCTTCATTTGATAGACCAAGGGGGAGGAAAAAAAAAAAAAATCTTATGATTATAGTGCAGCATCAGATTGGTATTGTCAAAAATTGTATTCTTCATTGTCAAAAATTAAGTATACTTTCTTAGTAGAGATCAGAATTCTTCTCTAGACACTAACAAAGAATATCATGTTCTGTTGTGTTTGATATATCAATTTAACAGAAATACAGCTTTGTGCAAAATTGTTATTGATTTTAAATGTCCTGTTTTATTTGCTTATCTGTGTTCATTTTGCATGTGCAATGCTTACACTGATGCTATTTTCACCTTCAGCAGAAGTTGCACAGCCCTCCGTGGACTAAACCTGAAGATAAAAAATCATCTGAGAGAAATGAGAAAAAAAATGAAGAATCAGTTAGTACAAAAGAAAGAAAAATTTAAATGCTACTAATATACATGTAATAATGCTCATTACTTGCTTTCATGTTCATATTATTTTTAGTCCAGAGGCATGAATAGTACCAGGTTTATAAAGCATGCATTTTTCACTATTTTATGAATGTTTGTAAATTAGTCTAGAATAGACCAATTAGTACCTTTCAGCAATAATCCAAAATGGATATTTGAAGAAATGCTTTGTAATACAGTCCAGGTTTTGAACTATTATTCTACTTGATTAGTAATTGCATATTATAAATTAGTTTCTTTGTAAAAAGAAATTACCATTCTCAAGTATTTTCTCAGTCTGTTCTATTTCATGTACATTTATGGCAAGTTAGGTTTTAGATCAAGAATAAAAGGGTAGCTAAAAAAAAATCTGTGTAAACATAGATAAAATACAATGCAGCTCGTAAGAGCAACTGTAAAAATGGGACAGTAGGGCTCCATGTATATTTAACTTTACAGTAATACCATTGCAAATCTGCTAACTTAAACAATAAAAAGTGTTTGGTTGTTTTTTTCCTTTCCTTTTTTTTTTTTTTTTTCCCTCTACCTGCTATCACAATTAGTCCTATTTTGAGAACTGAACTGTTGGCAGAAATGAAGAGTTAAAGGGATGGAGATAGGAAGAGTCATGGCATTTAGGATCCAAGCAAAAATTTTGCAGGTGGACCCAAGTAAAAATTTCTTAGCTTGGGTACCCATCCTGGAACTTCAGTTCCATCTCTTATAGTCGGGCTGACCTCTGCAATATAAATATACTTTAAATGGTGAAAACACATTTTGACCACTGTAGGTGGAATTTTGATCACTACAGCAAAGATGAGCATTTTGGTTAGCGTGTGCTCTGTGACTTTTATGATTCTTCCAGTTTCTTATGGGCAACATACTCTATTACAATGAGTTTGAAAGCAGAAAGGAAAGGAAAAGGAAGAAAAGCAAGGTAGAATGCCGTCTTTGTGTACACATCGCTGTTGATCTAATTTAGGAATTCGTGTGTCTCATATGATTGAGATGAAAATCTTTCAAGAACTAGTGCCTTAGGAACAATTCACTGTCTGATGCAGTGCTTTTGTGCTTTCCTCTTGCATGAGGTGTTTTAAAAAGCTGTAACTTGTAAACTCCCAGCTCGCTCTTACAACACACAGCAGTGAATTACAACTGTTACTGGATTGAAAGCAGTTTGCTTATATTAGCTTGCTTTTCCTTGCTTTTGAATCAGTTCAAAAAGTAAATAGACAATGTTTCATTCAGTTTAGTGGTATTCTCTGTCCTGGTTTTAGCTGTTTAGATTTTATCTGTCTTTGAACAGCCTCATCCAAAAGCTGTCCGTTCCTCTCCAGTGTGAAACGCATTTCACTCCGACATTTTGCATGTGTTCCTCTACTCAGAAGTGGATATTGCAGAGCGGTAGGTTCTTCTGCCTGGAGAAATCTCAACAATTTTGAAAAGAAAAGAAACTTGTGAGCTGATTAAATAATGGCAAAGTCACACTATTATCAAAGAAAAGATTATCCATGTAAAGTGTCGAAAAAATGAAATCCTGGCCACAAAGATAATCAGATCAGAGATGCTTGTTTTCACAATTGATCCTGACCAGCATCATCAAATCCCACCTATCAAATATAATATGATTTTGTTGCAGGTGGTCTGGGCCTCATAGCAGTCATTTGCTGCATTTCAGTTAAAGCTACAACATATCTGGCTGAAGATAGTCTTCTGTTTTTCAAAATTTCTTGTAAACAAGAGAATTGCGATCCCATTGTATCTACAGCCAGCATCTAATTCCTAGTTCATTGTCAAAACCAGAACCTCTTTGTGTATGGCACACATTAATTGAAATACGTGAGGTATGGACTGAAAAGGCCATTAAAACTGTTTCAGACATCCATCTAGAAAGGGCATAAATCTTCAAGTGTATGTCCCAGACGAATGAGGTAAGCTGTGCCACTTGGCATTCATTTTAATTTTCTGAAGAATTCAGCATTGCTGGTGGCACAGCTACTATTATTATGGCTGCATATTGCTCCTGTGCCAAGAGACAGCTTGGGGTTGGTGACTACAACATGAAAAAGCACACCTTATAAATCAACAGCAATCTAGCTTTTTTATTTTTGTATGCATGTATGCTTTGAGTTTTGTACTTTTTTTTTTTTCTAAGCGATGGTGAAGATAGATGAGAGAAAGCCAAATATATATCAAATATCTATCAAATATACATAGGTGGATATCCTTGCTTATCTTTATACCAGTCGTTTTTAGAATAATTGACATAGTGATTCTGAATTAAGAAAAATAATGAAGGATAAATAGATTTTCTTATCCGTGTATGGTATATCTAGTAAATTTCCTTGGTATTTTTTAAGTTGGGCTATTCTGAATGTTCTAGTCTTTCACTGAGAGGGTGGGACACATCTAAACTGATGTCCTTCATGGTTATATGCATATACAGAGAGAGAACTACAATGCAAAAAGATAAACATCTTAGTTGGAGAGGAAACTTCTGTTCAGTTTACAGGTGGGGAAAAAAGGTTTTGAAAAGACATCAGAATGTATGAGAATTTCTGTGGAGAAAGGAGATTTTGAAAAATCTTTGAAAAGGGAAAAAACAAACAAACAAATAATAAAAAAAAAAAAAAAAAAAACACAACTCACAATAATGCTTTCTTGTTTTAAAATTGCTTGTAACCAGAAAAAAAGTGTATATGTTTTCCCTCAGTGGATCAATAACCATTCTTTCATTCCAGCCACGAGTATGAGTAGTTTCACATCCCAGCACTGGGATGAAAATAAACAGACCTTACTGTTTCCTCTGATTTGTGGCTACTCAATGTTACCAAAAACATGCTCATAAAGGAACTTGATTTTATACAATTTAAGTTACGGTCCTGCTTACTTGGTCTCTCTAGAATACTCTAAAACTCTTTTTATGATCAGATTTGCAGAGAACCATGTGGCTGAGCCTACTTCCCTACGAGGACCCACCAAACCACAGAGTGGCACATCTTAAAATGTTTTGTAATGCCACGCAGTTGCTTGGCAACCAGGTCATGGACCATATCTTTCTCTTTGCAAATAAGGGTTATGTATAAGACTTTTTCTATTAGATATTCCCCAGTCTAACAGTTAAAAGCAATTTCCAGCATCAGAGCAGGCCATTTTAAACTTCTATTTCAATTTTGCTTTTGCATAATAGACTTCACCTTTTAATTAATTTCTCTTTCTATCAGTCTGTATGTATTTGTAAACATATACGTGCATATACTTATTCACATAAATTTAGGTATAAATATGCATATATATATATACACAATTATGGGTGAGCATGTATGTACACTTAAAAATCCAGAGAACAACGATTCCTGACAAGGTATTACTTAACATGATAAAATTGGTAACTAAGAGGTGCTCTATTGACCAAAAAGACAAAGATCACAGTAAGGCCTGTATACAAGAATAGAGCACTAAACACATTCTGCTAATTTTCATGTTAAAAAAAGAAATACAAAAATGTTTAAGCCTATTTCTGTTTAAAATAGGTCATTTTCTTCAGTAGTTCATGGTATATCATTTTGTTAGGGTGAGCATACGTACTTCATGACACTTGATTTCTCTTTTAGTCATTAAAAAGCATAAAAATAAATCTTAGTGCTTCTCTGCTTAAGGAACAAGGAATTTCCATTTCATTGTTGACTTTGATAGTGAATGTTATATAGAGAGGGCATTTTTCTTCATTTATCCGATAATCTATGAAGTCTGTAATTTTTTTCAGTAATAATGGGCTATGGAAAGCCAGAAATTATAATGGCAGTCCACTTCAGATGCGTGTGTTACAATGCGGTCAGAAAGATTGACCATTCTATTTAAACAAGAACTTATTTGAATATGAACAGGAAGAGGCTCTCAGTGAGTCTTAGAAAATTAAACTTAAGATACATCAAGTTTTGTGATTCTGCCTGACCTTGTGGCTTGGGGGAAAGCTGCCTCACTTCTGTAAGTATTTCAGTAAGAATGATACAATACACTACTTACTATAATGTGGATATATTGTTATAGGATTAAATTGCTTACTTTCCTGTTTTCATGATTATGAATACCAGATTAAAAGATGTTATATAAACATAGAAAATAGTAGCATCCTTTAATTGCTTGCTTATTTAAAGAATAAATAAATCAATGAACTTATTAAAGTTCTTAAATTAAAATAAATGGATTTCTGGAAAATTCTTGAAACTGTTATAGTAGAAAGAAATGCATATTTTAGTTATCTTTCTTCCATTGTATGTATTTTGAGTGTTCTTTTTTCTATACATGTTGAAAAGATATCTATTAAAAAAAAAAAAGTCAATGCCACTTTGGCTCCACTTATTAGTTAGCTTATTCAAATGGATATTTTTTTTTTTAAAAGGGCAACAAACATCTTAGCCATACCGAGAGATCATAAAATTTTCTTTGAAAAGTATTCTTAATGGTGCTGTGAATTAAGATTATACAAATTAATTACCTATAAAATGCTTCAACTTGATTCTACTATAATATTCTTATCTATTTTATTTAATATTTTTATTACATAAGTTTCATCTTAAGTCGAGCCATTAAACAATTCATGTGCCTAAAGTAAATCACATAGTTAGTGACTGTGAGGATAGTTTTGTTGTTCTGGCAATTTACAAATACGTTGTCTAACAGAAAATGTTTTTCCTTAAATTTTTGTAGGTTATTTTCAAATGCAGTAATATCTTGGAGATTTGCTTCAGTGCTTTCAACCTTGTTTCCACACTAGGACAACAGGGTCCCACAATTCTTTATACACTGCTTCAGGAAGGTAAGAGAGATAATGAGAATTTTGTTTTTCTACAGTAAGCTTAACCTTGTACTACAATGATGCAGTGATCCCTCTGTGCTTTATCATGATTAATAGTTCAATTTTAGAAACTCAATATAATTAACACAAGAGATGAGAATTATTTTTTGGTACTTAGTGATCTAAATGAAAATAAACAAAAGTAGCAATTTATTTATAATAATTGTCTTTAATTTATGTAGTTGCAGCACGACACATCCAACTATGTACAAACACAGGACACAACAGACATTTAGAAGAAACCATAGACCAAGATTAGCAAAGCCAGCACTTCGTCCTATATATAGGTACCTATATAAACAGGGGTGTTAGCATCTAATAAATACATGCCTTACAGCAGCCCAGCTCATACAGGAACTTGAGGTGCATCTGCCTGCACCTTTTCCTCAATAGGAGGTCAGCCAAAAATCCAAGTTTTGTTAGAAATGGTCAAAAGCAAGAGCTTCTTAAACAGAGAAAAACAAATTCCCTGAATAAGACACAGTCAGAGAGAGTTTGAAAGTCTGTTTGAAAGGCGTTCCTGCGTCTTCTCCTTGCACCCCTCCTCAACCTATCAGTTTTCTATCACTATGGAGGTAACAGGAACATTTGGACACCCTTCCTCTGCACCTCACCCCGAACAGTACTCTGCCAGCAGGAAGCTGGCCAGCAGCCTCCTCCCAGCGCTTCTCAGAGGGCTCTTCTCTTGGCTGTCCTCCTGACTGGCTGCCAGCTCGCTCTTCCTTCCCCTGCTTTTCCCCAGCTAGCACAGCTGAAGCTTTGTCAGGCTCCCTTCTTGTCCATGAAACAGAGGGAAGCCTTTATTTCTGTTGAGTGTTGTAACTCTGCATAATCTAGAGCACCATCACAAATGGTGAACCCTGTGGTGAACTTAAGTCCCACTAGTGTAAATTTTCTAGTCTTGCAGATGTGATCCCCCCAAATAAAATAAAAACTAAATCATACCAGTGTATGTCCTTGACATGTTCCAAGTCATTTCTAAATTAAAGAACTGAAAATTCATTAGGATATTTTTGTTATTAATTTTAATTCAGAAAAAGAAAAAGGTCAGCTTTCCCTGAACATATATGGGACAAAAGTTAAGTTGTTTTGACTGGAATTAAAGGAAAGGTTATAGATGGGCTAGGAGCCTCAGATGGAAACAACAATTCAAACAATTAAAGTTTTGAGCTTCTGAAAATGGAGCCTTATAATTGGAAGTGTTGAATGACACTGAGGACCAAAGGTATGGCTAGCACTGGTAGCATCACGCCTGCTGTTTGCATTTGCACAATCCTGTCAGTTCACAGCATACCTGCAAATGGATGAGCAAGGTTCACGTAATGATGCATGCATGTGTATATGCATGCGTGTGGCGAACATGCTGCATTCCTGCATACAACACTGAATCATGGAGTATTTAGCTGAAAATACACAATAATAACAGTAATAGCAATAAGACTTAACAAATGCATGGAAACATGGATATTTGGCATGAATGTCTCTCTTTGTAGCTCTAACTTCCCAGGAATAGTTTTGATTAACACTATGACAAGCAACTAATATTTTGACATATCAAGAAACATTTGGTTAAACATCTGTCTTTGTCAAATATTGACCCATAGTATAGAGCGATGTAACATACAGACAGATTTCATTTTATGCATCAGATAATATCCTCTTGCTTTCTTCCCCCTGTCTTTCTGTCTTTTCTCCTGTCAACCTGTCAGCTGGAATGTCAGTTTCAAGGATGATGTTCCTATTAAATCCTGCTAATACAATGCCACAGTCACATTCCATTGACAAAATACATGTTCTGCACATACATTTAGTTATATCCCTCAGGTCACTGACCTTGGACAGCTGATTGACACAGACCTTGCTGGATGAGCATCTGGCATCCTGGTTGAGGTGTCACATCAGGAACTGTTAGCGTTGAACCAGTGTTAACATAGGTGCCATGGCAGGCATACTTCACAGCAAATAATGCGATGGCATTTGTTCTGTAATTAAAGATGATGTTAAACAGAATCAGATAGGGCAAGTGGTAGTTTCCAAGTTGTTCTTTTTTATGGAAGGTTTGTTTAAGACCTGTTGGCCAAATTATTTGTAAACTATGTGACACCAGCGAAGCTTCTGGGAACAAACATTCTGACCTGAAAGGAAGCACACGTATTAAAACTAGCATGCAAATAATTTTATTAGAATTCTAGTGAATAGAAGATCAGAATTTTTGTCCATTTGGTAAATATACTACCTTGCAAAGTAATGTGATTCTTGATTAAAAAAAAAAAAAAAAAAGTGAAAATTCTACAAACATGAAATTTAGAGATAGTGAAGTACAATGTTTTAGTAATGTCAAAGTGTTAGCAAAGATTATATAAATTATATAGCATTCATGAATGTATGATGAATACAAACTGTTATATAAATTTAATATTAAAATTACTTCTGAAAAATATTTATGCACATCAAATTATATGGAAGATTTAGCAAAAGATCTCCATTGTGATATTTTGAACACCATAATAAGATGTATTGTGTAATATAGTGAAAAACATATGTAAACATGAACATGTAAAACTGGTGGGCTCCCACAAAGAAAAAAAAAAATAACTCTAGCAAAATGTTTCATGTTAGCAAAAGTGAGCACAATTCAAACACGTGAATGAAATCTAAAGTTATTTTTCAAGTGGATCTATTGCATCCATATTATTTTTTTAAGTTTTAAGAAGCTTACATCTTAGGTGTTTATATCTAAGTAAGAGAGGCCTTTCAGATTGGAGATCTGTACATGCTTGAAGAATCTGCTCATTTCTCTATTTTTCTGCAACATCCGAGACCTAGAACTAGGCTGGGCATTTTGCTATTTCTTACTAATACAAGCATCAAAATTTAAAAGCTGAACACCAACTACCTTGAAAATTCAAGGTGAATTTGGCAGATGGAATTAAATGGTTAATTATGATTAACTTCCCGAATGTAATATCTGAGCTTAGAAGGAGAGTGATTTTTTTTTTCCTGCAGTAAACTCTGCTTTAGATGCTGATTATTGAAGCCACTGTTAAATATACTGCTGTTTACATTGTTTCCTTGTACCTATCTGCTTGACTGGAGAAGCCATGTGCGCAATGTGAAGGCTTGTAGCTAAACCTCTCCAATTTTTTATGCCCTGCTAGAGCTGTGAGGTTTCCATCCTCTCTTGTACATGAGGAAGTGTCTAATTTAGGCTTTTTAACTTGAAACAAATACGAGGTTCCCACTTTGGCTTTAGTTCTCTGTTAATTTCGCTATCATTTTCAAAACGGAATTTTTTAACTGGTGTTGATTAATAGAATTAATTAGTACTCACAGAGCAAACCCTGAGCTGGCCCTTTTTCATCTTAATTCTATTATGTAACTAATGAACAAGACTGGAATTTTGGTAGTTTAATTAAAAATGCTTCTTAATCAATAAACAGAGGTAAGCTAAATAATAGCTTTACAACTCTGATTGCAGATGTGATTGCTAATAATAAAACATCTATTACTTATTTCTACAGTGTTAGCATATATGCTCTTCAGCTGCTGATAAGCCGACCAATTTCTTACGTTATTAGCATGCAGAGTGAAGCCATTATATGTTTCTGTTAGCCGAGGGAAATCTAATACTTAAAAAAATCTTCTGGTGTCATTGCTCCACAAATGTGACAGGCAAAAGCTCACTGCTAGTAATGAAATTATATTGCTTTTACCTTTTCCAGCACAGATGAGATGGCTGCCATCTGTAAGAAATTCCCACATGTCCTAATATTCAGCTAAATTTAGAGGTGCCAGCTGGGTCCTGTTCTCAGGGTATAATAACCTTAATATTGTAGAACTGTCTTTGATGGGGTAAAAGGTACTGCATGAGTAATGAATTTTTCATTGCCAGTCTGTGGTGCACAGATGACAATCCTATATTTTAATGTCTGTTGAAATAAGCCTGTTTTTTAGTTTGTATGTTACTCTGCATTACTATCCTACAGTACCCTATAGGTGCTTTCTCTCACCTTTCTAGGCTTCTCATCTCCTGATAAACCTGAACTATCAAAAAGGAGGATGATGCTGAATTTATTTCATGCACAGTATGTGAAATCTAATTTCTTATTATTCATCAATCAGGATGTGAAGTATTTGTTGGAAACAAGGCAGTCAGTACTCTTTAAAACTGTTCAGTGATTAATACAGCTGTCTCTTTCCTTTGTTCATTTCTTTCTCCTCCTTTCAGATATGGAGAAAAAAAAAAAAAAAAAGAAAAGAAAAAGAAATGATCATCCTCAGGGAAAAATACTGGTTTGCATTACTGTATGGAGAAAAATAATTCATCAACTCAAAAAAAGCTTGCAAAAGCAAAACCAAAAATGTTTTTGCAAACTTGGTTTTGGAAAACTTTTATAGATCCAAATTGTAATTGCTTGAAGCACAATCAAGGAGAAAAGATGCAAACAATGACTCAGCGGTACTATTTTTGTTTTACCAGCTGAAATGAAATGCTACCCTTGAAGTCATAGCTTTGGGTTCATTGTTTTACTTTTTATTTTCAGACCTTAAAACGATGGAGAGTGACTTTTGGTAAAAGGTATTTTGAGCTTTAGATATTCCATTGTGCTGCCAGGTAAAGGGATCTGTACATCATGGCACTGAGGAAAAATAAAAATTAAAAAAAAAAAGTGCATATTTACCTTCTTTTAGCAGCTAGTAACAGTGTCTTTGACACTCCAACACCATATATGGAATATGCAGTTCTTAACGTAACATTTTCTTTTGAGTTTATAAATCTGTTCACATCTTTTAAGTTTATAAATCTGTTCACTCACTTGGGATTCAGCTAGAACATAGCTTCTATAGCAAGCAGAAAAAGCATGAAAGATCCAACTACTCCTGTAATTATATGCCTGTAAGCACAGATTAATTCATGGTGCTAAAGAAAGAGATTTTGTGCATTACATCTTCCCTGTGTTAAACTATTTTCCATACTTAATAAAATGAGTAGGGATATAGAAAATGATTTTCAAATGTCTAGATACATATGAGGAAGTACATAAAAAAATTCTTGTATGCTTTGCCATCTATTTTTAATTCATAAATATATTTGTTAAACGCAGTGTGTATACACACACCCCCCAAACCCTTCTACACTTCATACAGTAGAGAGAGTATAAGTAATGTAATTACATTGACATGAACAGTCAACCGTAGGCCAAGTGATAAGATCATTAACACTCAAAAATCAGCTTTTAAAATTGGATTTGAAATATTTATGTGGTTAAGATATCTCAGTAATCTTAGAGGAAAACCAGTTAGACACTTGGGTAGAAAGTGGTCTTGCTAGGCTGCAAATTTGATGAGCAGCTATTACAGCAGCACTAGAAGGCTGTTCTACAGTTATAAATTTGTTACTGGCACTATTATGCCTCCCTCAAGTTCTTGTACTTGGAAATATTTGTACCCAACCTTTAATCTGTGAGAACATCACTATGCTATGCTCTGATAACCACTGGAATTTTTCTGGCCTCCCTGGTTTGCAGGCTTGCACCTATTACATTGGTTGCACATGGTATCAATAGGTCTTGGATTCACTTCAAAATTAAAATGAATTCTTGCTTCGAAAGATAAGAATAAAGTGAACTAAAACTTAGATGATGTTACTATTATTCTCACTCTTACTCTGTCTCATTTTTCTGAGAGCTTAGCTGCAATCCAGAGAATCAAACTTAAAAACACATAAAATGTTGTGATGTGTATACGGATATGCTCATGGACAGACAATTTGATTCCGTGGCAATATTCCATGGCAAATTTACATTTTCTGGTGTAGGACCCAGGAGCCTCAGTCATATATTGGAGGTTGATTTTGCCGCAGGTAGCATACAATACATATATATACATATATATTTATTTATTTATTTATTTATTTATTTATTTATTTTTTAAAAAAAGAAGCTGTCCCCAACACAGTCTGTGAAATACCTTTTGTAAGACAGTATTTGTTGCATTTATCACTAAGAATGTCTACAAACAGAATTAGATTTCTGAGCAGTCCAAGTAAAAAGCAAGGAGAACACGTTAGGGTTTTTATACTGATCCTTTTTGTTTTTAGCTAAATATGTAAAGAAGGAAAAGCACACAAACAGTACAGTAGGTTTGAGAGAGAAGTTAACTTTTTTTAAAATTTTGGTTTTGTTTTGTTTGTTTGTTTTCCAGGGAATTTCACTGCCTTCAGCTGGGACTGTTGGAATTATTACAAAATGTCTTCACCAGGTTACATCAGGGATGCCTTGGTCTGGAAGCAATGGATTTGACCTGTCATTGCAGTAGGCTTGTTGGCAGTTACCCAGTAAAAAGGCAAGTCTTGGGGAGCACAAGGTAGAAGGGAGGAAAACTGATAAGGTAAGAAAAATGCCAAAACAGAAAATCCAGTTCTGCCCTGTTTTTCTAGTCTGATACTCACTATTATTGTTCAATAAGACATTAAAACCAGGTGTCAAAGTATGGGCAATGTCTCTCTTCAGATTCATTCTACATATCTGAAGAGCCTGTTTTGCTCTTCCCTCCCTCTCCCCTCCACCCCCCATATCTTAATCCCCAGCACTTCAAGGTGGGTGGTGCACACTGTCCTTCCACAGTATGTATGCACATCGGTCGCAGCTCTGGTGCCATTTTTCAAGGTGGGTTTAGGCACACCCTGCTTCTCTCTTTGTCATCTACTGTAGTCAGGAAGAGCCATTTTAAGTTGGTTGCTGTCCTAGCAATTCTGTCTCCAAATCAGAGGATGGCTCAGCTGGCAGTATGCTCACGGGGCACTGCCTTTGTTCTGCTGCTACACAGCCACCCAGCACTGGGGACGAGAGAGCACGGGTGAGATCAGCCCCGCGTCAGGGCTTGAGACAGCAGTGTGGGAGGCTGCTCAGCACGGATGTTACAGTGAAGCACAGTGAAATGTCAAACACGGTAATTTTGCGTGCTTTCTCCCGTCACCTCCCATTGCACTGCTAGGCAAACATTCTTAGTGTCATCTTGAGCAGGGAAAGTTAAAAACAGAAATCACTGCTTACTAGAGAAGAAAAAAGAACCCTTTCTCTCCACTCAGTTGGTGTCTTTTAATTAAAAATGTTTTTAATGAAAGCAGAAGAAAGCAGACATTGTCTGGCTGCCATTGTTCTAGTTGGCAAGGTTGAAGAGCTCTAATCCATAATATCTGTAATATCTCATTAATTTAGGATTCATATTTATTGTTTTTCTTCTTTCTTGCAGTCTCATTAATTACAGTCTCATCTATAGAAGCAAGGAATATTCTCAAATAATGGAAAGGAACATCTTTTTCATAATAATTAAGCAGAGGAATGGGGAGAGAAAGCAAAATTGCCATGCATCACACATACCAGTAAAGAGGAAATTGTGCTGTTAAAGAGTGTTACAGGCTGAGCGGTAATTCATGCAGTCTTCTCTTTCTGATACAACAGCTTCTATGTTTTGTGGTTGGTAAAGGACCTGGAACTTGTTATTTCTGCTTGTCAAAATGGCATGTTAGGAGGATAGAGCTAGTCTTGTTTTATATAGGATTTATGCAACATTAATAATGAAGTTCTAACCTGTCAGCACTTCACAAAATCTATTGTGCTTGGGACTGAACGTGAAATATTTTGGAAGAGAATCTGTGACAATTATAATAACAACCCATCTTGATTATATATCGGGAAACAACTGTTGCATCTATTAAATTCATCACTGTCTTCCTCTGAGCTCCATACATAAAAACAGCTGTATTTCCATTTCCTTTCGTTAACAAAAGGACTAAGGCACATCATGAGAGAGGACATGCACAGCTGCAGAGATAGTCTATATAATTTCCAAATACACACAGCAGACATTTTGCAGCACTTAATTTCTGTGCCAGACTGGCCAGGCCAGCAGCCCTGACAGGGTGAGCAATTCCATAAAGGCACCTTGGAGTTAGTCAAGGAAGAAAGAGAGAGCTATTATGGATTGTCTTTCCAGCATCCTTTCTAAGCACAAACTACTGTTTCTGACAAAAGATCATAAGCAGATGTTTCAAAGAATTCAGCATAAGATTTTTATATGGTATTTCTCTGTGGAAATTCCTGCATTTTTAGATAATCCTCTGGTACTGATTGTCAAGGATTTGATTGAAACTTGAAATAAGAGTTCATACTCTATCCAATTATACTTGTTCCTTAGTCCCAACAGAAATTCTAGTTTGAACTAACTCAAGATTTGATCTTTGTGAGAAAAATATGTTTCTAAACAAAATACTCATGATTATACTTAGTAGTTTAATTAAATCCAATAGAAGAGTATCTGCTTGCCAGGGTACACTTTGGTTCAATTTCACTAAGCTTTTTACCTCACAGATCTTCTATAAACTTTAAATGTATTTTATTTATTTACTTATTTGAATTTTAGATTTGTCTACACTTAGGCATTTTTACTCCTGTTTTATTACACAGGTAGCAAAAAGATGTTTTTTAAGCTATCTTAGCTATTTGGTAATTTCTTAAGGGTTTTTGTTCGTTTGCTTGTAAATAAATTTGTGGTTTTCCCAATATTCTCAATTTTCAGATAAAACAATTAAAGACTTGTATTTCTTGTTCTTAATTTTTGAAAAAGGTCTTCTGTGTAAGATAAGTGAGAAGTACTTAGCTGTCAGGTGTTAAGCTGTTTCTTGTGAAGTATGCTTTTTTGTCTCTCTGTATCTGCTTCAGAATGTCTTGTCCCATTGGCTCATTTCAGACAATTTTGTGAGAGGACTCAAGGACAATGATATTCAATGCTTTTATATGTTTGAAAAAAATAATAAAAATATTCAGTACAGGAAAGAAAGTCTAAATATGTCCAGGAGGGTTTAATGCCTCGTTCATCTGGAATTTCTGAAGAATCCTTCAAAGTACCCCAAGTGAGGAAGAGGTTAATTTTGGAGTTTGCACCTTCTTATACAGAAAGGTGAACTGGCTTTCAAGTACAGGCCCCGAGACAACCAGACTTCCTTGGTTTTGATGCTATAATGTGTAATTTTGTTGTTGTTGCTGTTCTTTTGAGCTGAGTTGTAGGGCTGGAAAGAGAAAGGAACACACAGAAAAGAAAAGAAGGCATGTGGAAGTTGAAAATATAAGCACAAACAGCAGAGATATTTTTCATTTTGATAATTTAAACCCAAATAGCCCAACTTGAAAGTTTCCTCTAAAAAGTGATTTCTTGCATACAGAGGAAAACTGTTTGTTCTGTATTTCAAAGCTATGACTGTTGTTTTGGATGCATCCAATTAGGTCAAACCCCATTGAATATTCTGATAACATTGCCATAATTTGTTTGAATAATTCTTCATGTTGGTTTGGTTTGGACCTGAATTACAGTTTTCAGTTTCTCTTGCAAGGGGAAATTTATTGAGAAATATCAAGGCAAGATTTTGTTTCTGTTTGAAATTTCAAGCAAGAGCAAAAAAGTTGAGAACTGGAGATCAGTTATCTCATGTATTCTCTTTTAGTTTGGTGGACAGGAAAGTCAGAAGTTTTAGTTCAAACCCCTCATCTTTCATGCAGCCATTATTACCACCTTGACCCTAGTCATTCTCTCACTTTTCTTTGTAAAGTAAACACAGACACAGTGTGTTAGAGTATGGTCTGCAGATCAAAATGCATACCCCTTGGAGAGTTCTGAGGAAAAGATGTGAGAGAGTGGACTATCACTACACTGTCAAGTCAATTACATGTTAAATGTTAATAGTATAGTTCAAGTGACAATTAAGGGTCTCCAAGCAATCTATTTTTTTTTAATGAATTTGCCTTTTAAAACCATAGGATGTACGTTTACATGTCAACTACCGTTTTATTACAGATTTTTATTCACTATATCACTTTTTTTTTTTTTTTTTTTTTTTTTTGTCTAAGAAAATTTGTAGTCATCAATAAGGAAAGGAAAAATTCTTCATCCAATATTTAAAGTCTTATTATGAAATGATTATGGCCTGTTGATGAGTCAGTGCTTGTGGAAAAATCTTGTAGGTCTCAATCTCCAGTAAGAGACTTTGGGTGATTCATTCCTGGGATCCAGTGTGAAATTCCTTATGCACCCTCTGAAGCTTTGGTACAAGTACTCATTAATTGTATGAGTACAGATGATGGTACCATCATTGGCATGACTTCGTGTACTTTGGGGGTTATCTTTAATCCGGTCCTATGGAGCGAATTAGCATTTTGGTGCCTCCTTTGGGGAAATGTTGTGATTTAATTTTGTGCAAAATGAATCCAGCTGTTGTGTTCAGGGACATTGTAAACTAAGCAAGGTGAGGGCAGGTGATCTGGAGATTTACATCAACAGTATCACCTCATCTAAACAGAAATGTTGATGTAGTAAACACATCGGTTGGCTCCAGCATTATGAAGCTAATGGTGTACTTCAGAAAGGGGTAGAGGATGAAAGTGTAAGCAGTGGAAGTTAAATCAGGGCTTTGAAAATTCTGTGGGTGTTAACAATCCAAGGTTAATTCTTCCATCCAATGAGGTACATCTTCTTTAATGAGAAAGTCAGGCTGACAATATTCTGTCAGCCGGATGTAGGGTATATTTTTAAGATTTGCATCTACAATTAAGCAATATTTGCACTGATTAAAAATGAAACATATTTATGTCTTCAGTTCATCTTTGCCAGCCAATAAAATTAGTTTATGTTTATGTTCAATCCCATCAAATTTGGTATGTCATCAGCATTATAATGGTCTGCCTTGGAGCTTTAAAGATACTTGGAATAACATTTCTTATTTTCAAGTGAAATGAGCTGGTGTTGAGCAAGAACTGTCTTTGGTTCAAATGTTGTGTTTAGCAATAATGTAAATAGGCAGTTTGAACTGCATGAAAACCATTGAGCAAAATTTAAGGGCTGCATGCATAGCTAGTATCTGTTTCATAGCTGCTTTCTTTTTAATGCTTTGTACATTTTTATATTCTGCAAATTCTTCATTCAGTTACTTAGTTGATGGTTTACGCTGTATTATTTTTTTTTAGCAGAGCTCTGTCCTTTAGCACCTTTTAGAAGAACCCTAATTTTCCAAATGTGCTTAGTGGAAATGATTTTGTAACCTAAAAACAAGAGAAAGGATGTAAATGGGTAACATTAGGTTATTTTGGATGAAACTGTGTTTTAAGACATCTAAACTACTTTCACTTTCATGGTATTATGAAGGCTTTGGTAAAGTTGATCACATATTTTTTATTATGAAATTATTTCCTTTTAACTTGTACTTGTTAAAAAAGTAGCATACAGTTTGACTGTAAAATTCAATGTGGGTCACTGCCTTTAAAACAGCACAGATAGGATTTTGATGTAATGAATAATGGTGCAGAACAAGTAGGCTGACCTGAGTAATAAAGAAATGAACCAGCTTCAAGTTTTATTCAATAGAGATTTCCACTGAAACAGCTCCAGCTGTTTCCATGAGAATTTGGAATAAATAAACTACCTTCTGGTGCTGCTGAGCAGCATACAAAGTAAAGATGTCAGTAAGTCAAGACTGGTATTTTAACTTAAGGTTCAAATAGCCAAACTAATGGACAAGTTCCTTTATAATAGGTTGTATCCCCATGTGTGGCACTGGGTGGGAATGACAACTGAAAATGGTTCAGAGAAGCAGAAAATATCACGGATGAGAAAAACTGACCCAAAACACAATGGACCAATTTTGATATGATTGGTCACGATCAAAAGTAACTTTATGGATTTAAATTATTCCTCAGAACAGTCCCAAAGTTTATTCTGCATGCTTTCACAGACACCTCTGAGGTAAGCTTGTATCCAGCCTTTGTACAGTCTTTGGAAAATGTGCGCATATTCATTCTAGAGCTGGGCAATCCTAGGAGCTTCTCTCACAGCAAAATAACAAGAGAAAGGAGAGCAGTGAAGTGAACCAGGAACTCAAGTAGCCTGTGCTGCCTCCGCAAAAGGGCAGGCAGCACACTATCAGCTCAGAGCTTGATGACCTATGTATGACAAATGATTATCACATCTTGTGTGTGTGATTTGCAGAACACTGTAACAGAGCCAAAAATGCTGCCAAAGTGATGTAAACTGGAAGACGTATGCTAAGAATAGAAGAAAGGGATTTCAGAGCTTTTTTTTCCCTGATGCAGCCTTGGTGGCCACATGTTTTGGACTAGCAAATTAGGTTCCAGTATATATAGAGATCTGTTTATTATATAGGGCTCACTGTGGGGTAGTGAAAAAAACCCAAGCCATTGCAGTGTGAATTATTGTCCCTTTCTTAGCACCGTTGCATAGACACAACCCAAGATAGAGAAGCTAGAAAGTGCCTTCAGATGAGGTGGTGGAAGAGACCATGTACAGCCCAGGTGTTGAGTGCTAAAAATATTTTTTGTCACAGGCAAAGATGAGCAGAAGGCAGAGGGGAGCAGTGGTGAAACTCTTGAGGCCTCGCATCAAACTCAGTTTTTATAAAGGGAATCCTCCACCTAAACAAACTGGAAGTTCAACTGGTGTTGCACTCTCATTAATGATCAAGCCAATGCGTGCTTTCAAGTTGGCAGGACATTTTTTTTAACATGAGACACAATGTAGTGGCAATGATCTGGTCAAGCTGGCATTGGCTGCTCTTGCTTTCCCATGGCCCGGGTACCCTGTGCTTCTCTGTACCCCTGGCAGGTCTTTCATTATGGGGTTGCATCTTTCTGTGTCCAGCTGAGGTTTTGCTGCAACCCTACAGGTCATTGTTTGTCCGATTTTTGTTTGTGTTTTTTGTTTGTTTGTTTTTGTTTTTGTTTGTTTGTTTTTCCTCAGTCTACATTCTGAAAATAATCTGAGACAACATATATAAACAACTTTCAACATAATTAATTTGTCCCAGAAATCAAACCTGGAAGCCTAGTAACCTACATTAAATGTCCTAATTCCCCACTAAGACATAAATCTCTGGATTGTTTTTAGTACACACAGACCACCTGTGTCATACAATCTGCTTTAAAAAAAAAAAAAAGTAGCAAAAATCTTTCATTTTTATATTAACTACATTTGTATCCCTCACCAGTGATTTCAGTGTAATTTAGATCTCATGCTGGTGCAGGGCAGCAATTGATTTTGATGGGACTATCTTTATGCAGATAGAAATTACTAGAACTTCATATAAATTATAATGAACATCGTACAAAATTCTTAAGTCACACACTGAATACAATTACATAGTGCAAATTATAAACTAATTTAGGACTCAAAATTAATATCAAAAGTGCCCTATGCTTGACACAGTATAAAAGAAAATGGAACAAACTCAGTCATAAGTATTTTTAGTGGACTTTTCATCTTTTTTTAGAGGTATATCTCACTGCAAAGTGTTAAAACCAAATTGAAAACATATCAAGTGGTTTAAAATATATATATGTAGAGGGTACAATTATATCCAAAGACCTAATGATAGTGAAGTATGCTCATGCAATATATGCAACCATGAGACTTCTCTGAACTTAAGTCTGCATAGATGCTGTACTGTATTTCTTTTTATAATAATTGCATATAGTTCATCTTAAATTTCAACTTAGAGTAAATGAATTGGCTTAAAGTTGTTAATAAAATGTTGGTTCATTTTTAGAAACGTTGGGTTTATTTCCTTTGTTTCTGATAAACCAGGAACTCTAATAGTACTTGTAGTATGCTCTGTAATAAACATGCAAGGGTAAGCATGGTGCCTATGCCTGCAACTGTAGCAAGAAACAAATTTCCCCAGGAAAAAATATGAAGCTTCTTGCTCTTATTTTTTTATGCATCTACATTGAGGGAAGCAAGTTACTCTCATGGTTGGACCAGATGATCTTGGACTTTTCCAACCTTAACGATTCTATGATTCTAAGTCACATTTTAAAGCAGTAGTTTTATTTGTGCAGGAGAATCTTCTTCTGCCATAGCACAGACATGGAAAACATCCATTTGCTCATTAACAGTAATGCCCCTAGTTTTTTCACAGAGAATGCTGAGCTGTTTAAGTTACATTAACAGTCTAAACCTAATGCCATGTTTAAAGAAGACAGATACAGAGCTTTATTCTCAGGGGTGGTCAACCTACAGGAATGCAAGAGAACTTGTTAGGGGCAGGTTTCCTAATTCTCTGTGTAAACATCAGCATTCAATGGTTTGCCTGAGACAGTTGGATGGAGAGGATTTCAAAGGAAAACAAACCATCTCACATCACTGCTCCAACATGCAGGTAAGTCAAGGCTTTGGTACTGTTATGGGCACACAACAGATGCTGTGTTTCTCTCCATTACCAGGGTACAGCAGCCTGATGTCCCAGAAGAATAAAAATCGCACTTACTCACTGGTCTTCACCCAGTAGTGGGCTTTCTGCTGTCCCCACTGGATAGCTTGTGGTACCTGTGCTATCTAACCACAGAGGAGAAGCCTCTGCAGTGTAATGCAGACAGATCTGAATTGAAAAACACACAATGGTGGCAGTAAGTGTGGGTGAAATGCATATTTTTTTTCTTCTGTTTCTGAAAATGTTAGTGGGTTATGTATATGTAATTTTCCTCCAAAACTGAACAGAAAGGTTTTGGCTTTTGTGGTTGGTTGTTTTTGATTTTGTTTGTTTGTTTGTTTTGGTTTGTTTTGTTTTCCTGATGGAAAATCATAAGTAATGAATGTGACAGAATTATTCGGGTCCTGTGAACCCAAGAAGAGTGCGGGTTCCCTGTGGCTGTACAAAGTTCCTCGGCAGCGACACAAGAGTACTGCTCATGGTGCTCTGAGATGTTGACTCTTCTTTCTAAGTGTTGTGTGGGAAGTTGCTCCTTCACTGACGAAAGAGAAGGGAGATTTCTAAAGAAACTTCTAAAAAACTAGAAGTAACCCGGCATTTGCCTTATATGTTCATTTCTGCAAGACTTTAAAGATGCTTTACATTACTAGGATCAGATAAAGGTCTGAAACAGTCTTTTTTTGACCCTTTACAATTCATAGACTTTTATTTCTGAGCCCTTTTTCGAAGTATGTTAGGCTGAGCTAGTATAAAGAGTTGAGAGTTGTGAGTTGCTGACTTGAAAGGTAGAGCATTAGAGTGAGACAAAAATTTGGGCCAGGGAGGAGATGGAAAAGAAAAAAAAAATGTGTAGAAAGGGGCTTGAGAAGAGGCAGAAAAAATGGACATAAGAGGTGACTGGGGAAAAAAACAAACAAACAAACAAACAAACAAAAAAAACAATCTATTTGGAAGAGGCATAAAAGAATTGAGGCAAAGGATGTTCAGTATGTTTATAAAGGTAGTGAGGAGACTTATTCCCTAGTAAGCATCTAATGATTTCCACTGGCTGTGGTGTGCTCTTCCCTCAGTACATAACAGGCTCACGGGATGAAAACCTCCACGCTAATTCAGAGGCAGAGTGTACATCTAAACTGTTTATCTAGTGGGCACCCCCTGTCTTTTCTCATGAATGTTCAAGAAAACAAAATAGCTTCATCTGTAGGGCCTCAAGCACTGTCTGGAGATGCATGGAATAGCAAGGTAGCACCGCAAAGGGCACTTCTGTCTCCTCGCTCTATCTCGTGAAATGTGAACAAGCAGAAAATAGGGAACAAATAAGAGAAGGAGAAAAGTGTCTCTGTCAAAGAATATACCATGGACAAAATACTCAGATGTGACCAGAACCAAGTTAGTAGAGGTATGTATGCCTTGAAAGCAGATTTTTTGCAGATCCAGGTAGGCCCTTTACTTGAAATACAAAGAAAGAGAAGAAAAGGGCTCCCCCGCTGCTATTTATTTTGGTGCCTAAACCAGAGCATAGGCTTTTATTAAGTCTTGTTAGAGCAGAGAATACTTTAAAACAAGGAATATGTGGAGCTGCCCTTTGCAGGGGATGGTTGGTGGTAAATTGCCCTGTCAGCACCTGGAGGCTCTCCAGGCCAAGTCACTCAGGAGGACACCAACTGAAGCAGAGGGGTTTTGTGCTTTGTTTGGCAGCACTGTCCAGTGTCCAACAGTATCCATCGAGCTCAGGGACCCTTCTTCTTGAGAGCAGCTCATGGAATTATTCATGAGATTATTTGGTCAAATAGTCAGGCTTCCTGTATGAGAGTCTGGCCTACAATTTATACATAGCATTGCTAGAGAGCTGAAGGACATTTTAACTCAAATGTTCAAGGAAATTCAAAAACTAGGCTAAAAAATAAATATAAAAAAAAAAAAAAAAGATAAACCTGCAGGGGTGCTTGGCCATATCTCCTGGGTCCCAGCTGCTGCTAAGAGGGGACTGTCAACTGGACAGCCCAAACTGTCTGGGAAAGCGTGTGCCTAGAAGTCACTCCTTAACAAGAGGAAGGCAAATGTCAACCAGATTAAACAGGCACAAGAAAACTGTGGTTTGCTGGGTTTGAAACAAAGCAGGGGTGTGGGTGTAAATTGGGGCGGTGGGCGGCAGGATGGGTCCCACATCTGCAGGTGGAGGGAGCTGGTGTCAGGGGAAAGTGGGGGCATGTGGGCCGCATGGCTCCTCTGGTGAGGTGCTGAAGGGCACTGAGAAACTGCCAGGGGCATGTTAACATTTTATAAAAGCCCAGCATTACAGTTTTGCTGATATGGATTAAGAATGTTTAGTTCCCTGATTGCTAGCTAATTATGTCATTAATCAATAAATCACTTCAATATTGACCTGGTTTAAGCAACGTGAACAGAGCATTTTTTTCCTGTGATACAAGTTTCCGCATAAGTGTCTCATGTTTTAGTCACAAGACATCATTTCATAAATCCAGATTTGCACAGCTGTTTAATGCAAATTGTATGACCAAAAGTACTGAGGTGGACAACAAGAATGTTTATGAATTACTATTTCTTTTTGAAGCTGATGTGAAACTAATTCAGAGATTGGAGAAAGAAAAACCAAAAAGGAATAAGGTGTTCAACAGGGGAAAAAAAAAAATTAAAAAAAAATCTCATCCCTGTTGTGATTCTGAACATCAGCCTGCCTTTCTTGGGGACCAGAGAAAGACCATAATACCCAAATCCAGCAGAACACTGTCCAAACATTTTAAGTAGAAAATATGTCCATCAGAGATTTGTTTATAGATATATAAAACACAATTCCCTGGTAAATTCTTGTTGGAGTATTGGAAGCAGTGTACATTGCTGATTAATGTGTGCTAAACAGGAAAATTAAATTATCCCCTCTCATAAGCTGCGAACTCTAACTTCTGTAGAATAAAACAACTCTCAATTTTTGAATGAAATAAAATGTGTTTTTAACACTTGCACACAGAATCGCAGGTCCAGGGCGAGGTAAAATCTGCAACACACTGAATATCTGATCCTGTCCTAAAGAAAACTTCGTATGTTTCAGGTATTTGCTCTGCCTTTGTCAAGAACTGAATTGTTTTTATATTTTCAGTGGGTAGCATACAAGAAAAGGGACACGAGGACAATCACCATTCACGTGAACAAGACCTTGTCACCCTTCTTCATGTTGAATCTGCCTTTTCTAGGAGAGGGAAGTCAGCATCAGGCTCTGGCCTTCATCTCCCAGGTAATGTACAGATTGCAAATTTACTTAAAACACATTGGAGAACACATTGTAACATTAGATTAGAATCAGAGGAAAAAAAAAGGAAGGTCATTAGATTAGAAAGAGTAAGCATGGAAATATATATATAAATATATATATATATAAATCCGTTAGAGAATCATTTGCAAAGTGCTTCACACAAGGAACAACATTATGCTCCTGCTGTTTTTGTGAATTCTCCCATTTCAAAATTCAATGTCTGTGCACTGTTGTGGAGCTGCGGTACTCCCCAGGGTAGTTTGCTGCCTTCTTCTCGACCACCTAACACTTGCCCACGGAAGGGCAGTTCTTCATATGCCACTGGAAAGTCCTGACACCTGAGTAATAACACAGTTGATGAGAAAAAGACACCTCTGTACCTTATCTTTGTTCTTTTTGACCATTTCCCCAGCAGGAAAAATGTTTATTCATTTTAGTATGTCTCCTTCTGAATAAC